GGCGCGGAGGGTCATTTCCCAAAAAAATTTGGAGCGGCTGAAATGAAATGTTAGGGTTTCGCGAGCGAGCGATCGAGTGTGGCAAGGCGTAGACCTGGGCTTAAAATGGAGAATCAGCCGCTGCCACATGTTAACATTTATTTTTAAATAATATAATTTAAAATGTTCGGTCCGGTCCGGTTTTCGCCGGTTTTTCAAAAATTAAACCGGTTCTTACCGGTTCATGGCCGGTTCGGTCGGGTTTTTTACCGGTTCATAGATTTTTTATTATAAAAACCGAACCAAACCACCAAAAGCGGTCCGGTTTAGGCGGTTCGGTCGGGTTTTCGGTTATAATGCCCACCCCTAACTATTATACCCAATATACGAGCTCAAATTATTTATAAAAAAAACCATATATGAAATGGACTTTAGAAACACACCCAAAGCCCATTTACAATATAACAAAAAGGTTTTTAAGTTCTTTTAAATTACAAAACTGCCATTTATTTCTTAAAACAAACCCAACTCCAAAATCTCAACAACAAAAAAAAGCCCAAAACACTCAATAGGACATCAAAGTAATTTAATAATCCAAATTAAATTCATTAAGGCCAGCTATTATTTTTTGAATTTTTTTGAGGTTTGTTTATAGGAATTAAATAATGTAGGGTTTATTTATAATATTAGTGCTAAAAATGGGTATATGATTAAATATCTCTAATTTATATTCCAACATAGAGAAGAAGTACAAAAAAAGTTCATAAATCCCAATATTAAAGTACCCTACTCAGACATGTAAAAAAGGAGCGAAAAAAATTACAAAACTTAAGCTTAAGTTAAACAAAAGAGGAAGAGAAAGAGAAGAAAAAAAATTTAGGAATTTTTAGTGCAAATATCATAATCTAGCCTAGTAGATTTAATTGAAAGTATAAGAATGATTAAGAAGTTTAATGGCAAATTTGTAGACAAAAAGAACCTAATATATTGTTTATTTTAGAGTAAATATTCCAAATATTAGATAATATATTATAATATTTATATCATACAATATATGAAAGGAGTATCGCCGTGCGGCTTTATTGGGTCCTTTTTTATTTTTATTTGTAATATAATATATGTACCATGGATAGCCGTATAGCCGCCCGGCTATACTCTTTTGGGCTATACTTTTTGTGATACGTGACTAGGCGCGTCCTTTTTTATATGTTTATATGTAAATATTTTTTTTTTTAGTCGAAGTTTGCACTCACTAAACTATTTATTTTAAGACTATATACAACAATCAGTGCTAAACCCAATTTCCGCCCTGGGGGGTTAAGCCACCTGGGTTTTATTTTAAAGTCTCATTGAATGTGAAGAAAAAGATAGGAAGAATTAAAACAAGTATACAATTCAGAAAACTGCTGCTTCCTTTGAGTTGATTTGGTATTTGATTCTGGAAGACTAACCAAGTGAGTGGATGACCACAAATGATTTACATTTTTCTACTAGAGGAACGCTACTAATTGTCAATTGTCAAGCAAGACACCATCATTCTTGAACTAAATTTGAAGTAAGCCCACTTTTGATTGAAGAGAATTTTCTCCATTTCACACTGGAGAGAGTGATGTTTATTTCCATTCAATTACGCATCTAAATTTGATATGACTTGCATCGATATTGTCGATAATGCATCAGTAACATGTTTACATTGATAATTGATACTGTGTCAAAACGAATTCTACTCCAAGCTACAATGAAAGGGGATCCCTTATGAGAAATTCGTCCTATTTATCTGTCCTTGAAACTTTAGTAATTTGTCTCCCCACTATTCAACTTTAGTATTGAAAGCTTACTAATTGTCTTCCCAGCTACTCAACTTAACTATATACTGTAGGGTTTCTACTTTCTAATCAAGTATTGCCAATGCTGCTAATTGTGAAATTTTTTTAAGGTGAGAGACAGTTACAAACAAAGCTTTACCAAATTAATACAATTATCTTCTAATTAGAGTCAGACTCTCCATATATAGTGCAGACTAAAAGAAACACACCCCTCACTGGTTCATCAAGTGTACTCAAGTTGAGCAACCCTGGAATTCTTGTCCCTGTCGACCATAAGAACACTACAGGTCTTCCAACACATCAAGTTCTGCACAGAATCCAGTGGCACAGCTTTTGGATCCCGGAAATCTTGTTGTGATAGATGGCCCGGAAATCCCGTAATGACTCTGATAATATTTTATGACAGAGTTTTGATTACCCAGGTGATACATTAATATCAGGTATGAAGCTTGTTAGGAACAAAATCACAGGTTTTAATTGGCATCTTACACCCTGGAAAAGCCCCCAGGATCCTTCTCAAGGACATTATCCATATCAACTCGGTCCTTATGGGTACCATGAATTAATTCTGAGGGAGGGTTCTGTTATAAAATAT